TAAACTCAGGTCCTTCTCCTTGCGAGGCAGGCAGCAGAACCACTGAGCAAAATCCCTGGCCCATTTGGTTTTATTGGTTTCCTTGTGGCTGCTATAACAAATACCACAAAATAGGAGAATAAAATAAATGCATTTTGTCATGTTCTGGAGGCCAGAAGTGCAGAATCAGTATCAAGACCAATCAAGGTTCTGGCAGAGCTGTATTCCCTCTGGGGACTCCAGGGAAGAATCCTTTGTGGCTCCTCCAGCTTCTGTTTGCTGCTGACATTTTCTGGCTTAAGACAATCATCTGCAATCTCTCTCTGATCCAGCTCCACGTTCTCTCCATGTGTAGTAAAATCTCTCTCTGCCTCCCTCATATAGGAATGCATATAATGTGTGTAGGGCCCACCCAGAGTAATCTTCCTGTCACACCCGGGGTAGGGGTGAGGCCTCTGAAGAGCACTGTCCCAATTCCTCAGTTCCAGGAAGTCTGAGAACATCTGCAGTGCCTCTTGTTGTGAGGAAGGTGGCCACACTCTCTCTAAACCCCAAATTCTTCAACTCCTCCCCAGACAAACCCCCTGGCAACCACCTCCCTGTAAAGCCTTTGTTCTCCTCTTGCTCTCTTTTCAGACTCAGCTCACTGGCATCTGAATGAAATAAACAGCTCCAGTGGTCCCTATGCTCTCTGCACCTTCAATACACTTCTTATTCCAAGACTCTTGCTTTAATCTCATTTGCAAATATCCTTTTAAGTTAATATGTAAAGGTTAAAGGTTTATGACCTAATATCTTTGGACGGGGGCAGATCGTTCTCCTTAGCACAACGATCAAAATGTATAAGTGAGCTCCTGAATCTGACCTCATAATTTGCTAAAGAAACTCAGCTTCCAGTGTCATGAATTAAAAAGACACAAACTTGTGAGGGGAGAAAATTTCCTTACATGACAACTAGGACATAAAAGTTCAAGAAAAATGTGACTGAAATTGGTGAGGAGCTCATCTGTTTCTATCAAATTTTTTATCTATCCAAAATTTTCTTCCTGTTTTTTAAAAGTAACCACCTTATCGCTACATAATTCACATTTTCTTTCTTAACCTCTCCAAAAAAACTTCAGTAACGTAAGTTTTAATTTTTTTTAGTTTTCAAGGGGTAGTCTGAAGACTTTAAAATGTAGTTCCTGTAATCGCAGCACTCTGGGAAGCTGAAGAAGGATCACAAGTCTGAGGATAGCCAGGGCAACAGAGCTACTTTGTGAGACTCTGTCTTAAAACTAAAGATAAATCTCAAATACTCGGGGACACTATGTCTCGGTGGCATCCTCTCCACTGCTCACCATGGACACAGGAAGTTCCCCCACTCTAGGGGCTAAACAGAGTGAATGGCAGGACGGTGCCAAATCTGCCATCAGAGACCCACCGATCTTGTCCCTGGAGACAGAATGGAGAGATAAAGACTGAACAGGGGTTCCCTAGCTCTTCTCTGTCATTTCTAGAAAGGCCAGAAATACCCAAGAACAGGGATCACGGTTGGGGGATGAAGGCGAGTCCCTAAACAAAGCCTGCAGACCATGTCAGATTCCACTGGCTGGAAAAGGGAGTTCTTGAGACTGGGTCAATTACAGGTCTGAGTATAAAGGAAAAGATGGGATAGGTGGGGGCAGAGAACATTTGGCAACAAACTAGTGGGGAAATCTCAGAAGTGAGAACACAGGGAAGTTTTCCCAGCACAGAGGGAAGCAGGAGTCCTAGGACACTGGCAGAAGATGAAGGAGAGCTTGGTGTCTGGAAAATTATTTCACACCCTACTCTTCTCAAATTAAATGAGTTAGCTGGATCCTGGGACAGAGACAAAAGAAGTAGTTAACAGTGCCCCAAGCACAGCCTGAAGCAAGGAGGTGAGTTCAAACAAACTGTACTGGCCATTATAGAAATCAAATTTAAACAAGACTGAGATGTTCTGCTACTCCAACAAGAAATCAGACAATAAGGGCCAGGGATTTTGAGCTCAGTGGTTCCACTGCCTGACTCACAAGCACAAGGACCTGAGTTCAATCGCTGGTACCCCCCCCAAAATCAGATAATGACAATAACAAATGCTATCGAGACTGGGGCTTCAGGAGGAACTCTCTACATTGTTGGTAGGAATGTAAACTAATACCACCACCACGGAAATCAGTATGGTGGTTTCTCAAAAGTCTAACTATAGAAATTCCATTTGACCTAGCTATTCTTCTTTCAGTTATCTTCCTAAAACAGTTAAAGATATCACATTACAGAGATATATGCATATCCATGTGTATAGAAGCACAATTCATAATAGATAAATATTGGAAGTAGCCTATATGTTCATCAACAGAGGATGAATAAAGAAACTGTGGCATCTGTACATAATGAAATACCACTTAGCTCTAAATAAGGATAAATCAGAGACATCTGTAGAAAAATGGATGCACCCTGAAAACAATGTTAAGTGAAATAAATTAGATACACATGCTTAGATATCACATGGTGTCTCTCATATTAGAAATCCAAGGTACAAATCAAGTAAATAAAATAAAAGACGATAAAAAAACAACAGGGAGATAGATCTTTGGCAAACTGAAAGGTAATTAAGAGTTGGAAGACGGGGGAAAGGGAGGAGGGGAAGGGGACACACAAAGATTTAGGATGTATGATGCACATTTAACATAAGACTCCACAGATGAAAACTGCTACCCTCCCACCAAAAATCCCCCTACAACTTGTTTCTCTTTCTTATAAAGCCTGTTTAGAACTCATCACTATAAGCTCATGGTACCTTAAAACATATACAGTCATGTATTGCTTAAAGACAGGATACACTCAGAAATGTGTTATTGGGTGATTTGTTGTATGAACAACACAGAGTGTACTTACACAAATTAAGACAGCTATAATATCACTACGTGATAAAGTATTATCAGACCACCATTGTATATGTGATCCATTATTGACCAAATATTACCTGGTGCATGACTATATGTTAATGATAAGACTTAGGTAGCTCTTTCAGAGTTACCCTAACCATTTATGATCTCCACTTAGTTTAAGGCTGATTATACATTTTAAAATAGATGTAATACATTTTATTTCTTGTAAAATAATAATTTATGTAGCACACCTCCTAGACCCTTAGAGCAGATGGTAGTGATCTCAACTTTCTTTTTTTTTTTTAATTGAGTTTATTAATACATTTTAGGTATACAGTACAGTTACATTCATTGTTGGGATCTTGTACCTCTACATGACAGGTCTTGGTTCTCATTTAATCTCAACTTTTAAGTCAGAATGGCACACAGAGTAAGCACCTCATTTACACAGTTATTTTCTGGGAACTTTGTCAGAGATGAGGTAACTGTTTAAAGTATCAGTGTCCAAGTTTCTGCATCTGCTTGCATACTCTGGGGGTCCAGAGGACTCTGAAGGCCCCAGGGAGCCTTCAGTGATAACTCCCTCATCAAAGCCACCTGGATTGCCTTTGGGGGCACTGGGAATCTGACTAGGTCTGGTAGGAGGACGGAGGAGTGAGAAGGTGATGCATTCCCTATAACCCAGCAGGACAGCATTTACCTTGCAGGGCATCTCTTCTGCTTAGTGACATCACAAAGGAACTGAGTTACTACTTACAGTAAGATTTAGAAACAAATTGCAATGCCCTCTTTGTTCTGTGTTTCTCAGATTTCAATTTTGCTCCTTTTTATAGAAATTTTTCCTTCCTTACCTGAATATGTGACTTTCTATTTAGTATCTCTCCACTGGATAAAGAACAAACAGCACCACGTACACCAACATCCCACTTTTCATCTCACATATCGATCGCTGAGCAATACATGGACAAGCAGGGACACTGCCATTCTAAAGACCACCCCACTGTGAAAGGAGACAGGCCTAGGTCTCCTATGCTAACTAACTCCACTCTCCAATGCCAACTGCCACTCAGAAGAACAGTGAAAGACTCCCACATCTCTGCCGTGACGGGGTATTGACCCTTAGTCCCTAAGCCATTCAAACACATCTTTCTGGTCACCCAAGGGTTTATCGGGGGAGGAAAGTTTTAGCTGCTTAAGTGAATTTATGATACCCCCACTGAGTGCTTTATGTTCCCGTATGTCCTAAAGCAGCAGTTGCTAAAATTTATTTTATGCTATTAATTTTTATTCCTAACCAAAGTTTACCAACTGAGGCAATCCACTCCCTCTGTGACACCTATTAACGATGCATTTAGTTGGCTGGACTTATCTAAGTGCACTGACTGGTTACTACAGCTGAGCTGGTGCTCATTATGAGTCTTTAGAGCTTGTCATGAAACCTGTTAATGCCCATTTTACTTGTTATGAAATAGTATATAAACTGATTCAATATGAGGGTAGAGAGAGTCGTTCCCACACACACTCATATGCTGCTAGATGAATTTGTGAGTCTCTTAACTGCATCCAAGTAGGTATGAGTTGAATAAAAAAGAGGAAAAGTATCTTTAAAAAAATCTTAGAAAAATTCTATACTTGGACATCAAGGTTTAGTGTTTTTTTCTGCTTTAAAGCAACTGAAAATAGTGATGTTAAACAATACATTAAAGATACTGCTTATGTGTAGATGCTCCTAAACAGTGCAAATAGTCACTAAAATTTGAGTATACATGATTATATGCTCTACCACAGAACTACACCTCATAGCTTCCCTTTCATACATTTTGAGTCAAAACAAAGTGCTTACATACTTTTATACATAAGCATTGATTTTTATATTTTTGGAAGGGAACTAATCATTTCTGACACAACTGTGTCACTAAGAATGCAGTATTTACCTATGGCTCAAAAGAAGTAAGCCAAAGACACTCATCTCAGACAGGGCCAACAAAAACATCAAAACGAGGTCATGGCTTCACTGCGACCAAGTCACCCAAACTGCAGAGAGTAAGTGAAGCCTCCTGTCAATTTCACCACCTCCCCGTAGCTTTCCCAATCCCCAACACAGAAGAAGGGATTACTAGTTCATACCCATCCTTCTTGTAAAACTCCAGCATCATATTATCCGTGGCAACACTGAGTGGCCGGCGGGCCTGCTCAGGCTGGCGCCGGTCAGCAGGGTCCATGTCTGGGGAGGGCATCGAGCTGTAGTTGGCATTATGGTTCACATGTACTGGACTCCCATAATTGCCCGTAATGTTGAATTCTATCTCTGCGGGGAAGAAAGAATTGACACACAGGATCTTGATATGCTACACTTTGCTGGACAGGAGAGAGATTCTACTCCATGTTTCACCCCTGGAAAAATCTACCCTCCAGTTCTATACGAAGCGATGAATATGAATTCGCCCCACTAGTATAATTCATCTTACTAATAAGCCAAAGAAGAGAAGATATGTGATAATCTAGACTGGCATTTAACACGCTCATGATGGGGCTGTGATTCTCATGTCTCACTGCTGAGCTGTATGGGTGTCCCACTGGGGAGCTTGTACCCCCTAATGGGACTGTCCTGGGCCACCCGGAGGGAGAGTCACACATGTACCAACAGTGGGAACATGTTAATAATGTCCATTTGTGCTTTTAAAGACCTAAAACTTAATGAAACAAGAACAGATGGATACTTTCTGAAAAAGACAAAATCATCTCTTTTGAATGTGATGCTTTGGAGTGAAACTTCTGAACTGTCCTAATTCAAGCAGGAAAACAGCAAAACTGCTGAAAGAAAACAATGTGGGTTAACATTGTAATAATGTTAACATTATTAATGTTGGTTAACATTATTTGAGTGGTTCTGGCCAGGGGAATTAGTCCCGAAAATATAATAGGAGCCAATATTAATGTTTGTGAATGATAACAATATCTTATTGTAAAAACAAAGAAAACCAATTGAAGAGGTTAGAAAGAATGAGTGTTTGCTAAGGTATCTGTTGGTTCTCAGATAGACACATCCCTACCCAGCAAAGAGAATGGATGAGTTCCGCACAACTCTGCCTGTCTACCCACAACAGTAATGAATCAGCTCATCCTCAGGACCCACAGAATTACTGTCTTCCACTCTGTCTCCTTTATTGCTTTACCTCGATCTCCTAAATTTATCTGACTTTGTGTCATCAAAGTCATCTTAGGAGATAAGCAACTCACGGTTAAAATGGGGTGAAAGAAAGACAATTAAGCTTCTTTGACCTAAGCAGCACTGATTTATTACCATTATCACAGAATTATTACCATTTTGTTCTCATGTGAGTGAGTGGTTGTTGTTGTACAGCTAAAGGCTGACCTGTAACGTTTATTCCACGTAAGGTACAGTATTGATTTTCATAGGGTACAAACCAAATTTAGTGTAACAACTGCTACCTCTTTAAAACTTCCACTACTGAGAGACATACTTCTGCAATTATGTGCACATGGTTCAGAACATCTCTGAAACTCCCTTAGAAGAAGCTGCCTTGAGAGCTCAGTTTTGAGCCAGGCTGAAAACAGCATTTCACTGCCTTGAGCCTCACCTATGTGTACTTAAAGGTAGTGTAGAAGGCATAGCTTAGGGCAGCAAAACAACAACCACCACCACCACCAGCACCAAAGTGATCTGTGAGACCTGAATCAAAGTCTGCAAATACCTCACGTGTCCCTCTGTATCTATAAAGTGAAAGTTTGGAGCAGAACTTTCTCTCCTTTCTGTAGCAGCTTTCCATGGACTTGAAGAAACCATGAATGGACATTAGACCAGGACAATCTGCACACCTAGAGGAACTTCCTTCAGGCAGGGATAAGAGAGAAGGAAGCTGCCAGGACTCTAATACGCGGTTGCATTTCTGGGCATGTTAATTGTGTGTGTAGGAAGATTGACAATGAACCCCAAAGAAGCCTGGGGGCAGTGGTACTACGTTTCAAATGCTCCAGGCTCACAGCAGTCTTCCTGCTCCCGCCTCTGTCCCCTCCCCTACCAGGATGCTGTCACGTACCCCCAGGGAAGAACCAGTCCGCATGCTGGATGATGGGCTCGATGATCCCGACAATCTGCAGCGAAACTGTGGTCATCATCTCGGTGATGTTCCTGCAAGCATGGAGCAGGAGGGTGGGGTTGGGGGTTTACCAGCCAAGGCAAGGTGAGAAACTTCCGGTCCTCTGGCCACTCAACTGAGAAGGGGCCATGGACTGGAACTCTGCAGGCCAAACTTGTAAGTTGGCTTTCTCTGGGACGGACACTTCACCTCTCTGAATGAGGACAACTCCAAGGGAAATGAGCAATTCCCATGAAGGAACTTCCAACATGAGGTGTGACTCTCATCACTGCCAGGCTCATCTTTCCAACTCTTGTGTCTCTCTAGTCCTCCATCCCTCCCAGTCCTGACACTGGGAGGTATCTTCTTAGGACAGAGTGAGGGGCCTGAGAGAGCTTGCCTTGTCTGGTGTCATCACATCCCTTCCCACCTTCCTTTCATCCTGATGCTGACTCAGATTAGATCAGAGAAGGCTCTTACTTCAGACCTCTGCGCCTCTTTCTGAGCCTAAGACATGAATAACTAGGACTTGGAACATAACTGAGGCTGGTAATGATCTGCAGCCTGGCAATCCAGCCCCACCTGTGCAACCCCAGACCTCTTTTCCCCATACTCACCCTTCTGCTTGTGGCCATAGAAGGTTGGGTCCTAAGACAATTGCCATGTTACTGGGAGTCATCTTGTTTACATCTTGATATTCTGACAACTTGTATAAAAACTTGATCAAGTACCTGGAAGAAGAAAGGGTCAGATGTAACTAGGGCTTGACACTAGCCATGCTTCCCAGGACTGCATAGAAACATCTCTCGTGTAGCACATCTTACTGATACCAGAACTCAAACACCCCACAATTTAATGAAGATGTATCATGTGTCAGAAAGTGGGAACTCTGTATCCTCTTTCCAAAAGTACACTCAGATCTCCAAGGCAGAGGTCAACATTTGCTTCAGCAAACATTAGCCAAGAAAAGTCTCCATCTTTCCTCTTAGCTTAGTATAGAATGACTAAGCTTCTTCCCTCTTGTCAAACTCTATCATCTGCTTTCCTCTTTGTGTGCAGAGGTGAGAAAGTGTCTGGGTACTGTCAGCACAGACATTTACACATGAGGGCTAATGCCCACTGGAGTTACTCTCAGCTTTCTGGAAAGACTCAATGAAGAAAATGTTAAACACAGACTTGGCACATGACCTAGCAATTCTACACCTATGGCTCTACCTGAGAGAAGTAGGTCCACACATGAGCTGGGATGTAAATGTTCAGAGCAGCATTATTCATCATAGCCAAAAAGTGGAAACTGCTGAAATGTCATCAAGGGATAAATGGATAAATATGAAATGCTATACAGCGATAGGTGCTAGGGGCTAAGGGGATGAAGAATGAATACTAATAGGAACTAGGTTTCTTTCAACAGTGATGAAAAGGCTCTAAAATAGATAGTATTGACAGTTGCATAACTCTATGAATGTACTAAAAGCCACAAAATGGCATACTTTAAAAAAAAGCACAATGGCATCTAAATGTCATCTCAATAAATTTATTATTAAAAAGAGTCAGTGAAGAAATACATACAAATTGGGCACAAAAGTTAGCCCTGGCACACGAGGGTGCCGCCAGGCCCTCACACCTCTTCAGGATCCAGAGGGGCATATGTCCTCTTCAGGGCTCTCAGTCACAGAGGATCTGTGATCCTAAGCCCATTTTGCCTGGATCATGATAAAGTAACTTCCTTGGAGGGCTTTTCTCCCCATCTCTGTCAGCTTCCCCCTGGGAATACTACCAAGCAGTCACTATGCAATGTACTGTGTCAACACCATGCACAACTTCTCCCAACCATGTTTTACCCATGAAGAGGCCACACAGGACTGGACCAGGATGTGGAACAGCTGAGCACTCAATCCTTAGGCTGGCCAGTGACCAAAGGCTCTGGTCATCAACATGTGGTGAGCTGTACTGACTGGATTTTGCTTTTGGGATTTTCTTTTAATTGTAGAAAAAATATACATGAGTTTAACCATTTTAACCCATTTTGCAGGTGTGCATTTCAGTGGCATTAAGAATATTCACAGTGTTAGACAAGCATCACTATTACCATCCATGTTCACAACTTTTTCATCTTTCCAGACTGAAACAGTATCATTAAATAATAACCTCAGAGCTCTCCACTTCCACAAACTCTGGCAACCACCATTCTACTTTCTGTCTCTATGAGTTTGGCTATTCCAGATAATTCCTATGAGTAGAATCTTAAGCGTTTGCTTTTTTGAGTCTGCTGGTGACACTTAGCATCATTTACTCAAGATCCATCCACACTGTAGCAAGAATCAGAATTTCATATTCCATTACGTACATATACTATAGTTGTAATCTAATTTTTGTCTGAAGTAACTTGAGTTACTTCTACTTTTGATTCATAATGCTGCTTTGAACATGGATGCACAAAAATCAGGTCCCTGCTTTCAATTCTTTGGGGAGTGCCAGCTCGTACGGTTTTTGAGAATCTGCCATACCGCTGCTCTTGGGATTTTTAACAGGAAAACAGATATAATCAGGCAGATGGCAGCAGGAACTGAAGCTAAAACTCTGCATCCTAAGGAGCAGGGAAGAGCGATGGCAGGGCCAGGAGAGGCACAGGCAAGATGAGGGGTTAGAAAACAGGAGGTGGAGGAACAGAACAGGGATAGGAAAAGGTCCCCAGTGCAGAGAAGTAGGAAAAAGTGAAAGATGAACATGTAGAAACAGCTGTGTCTCATAACCAAAGGAACACATTCTCCCACTCCCCCCGCCTTCTCTTCCACTGACACATCTGTCCCCCTCCAGCCCCAGTACTAGTTAGTTTCTCTGTGTATCCAGGAGCATCTATTTTTTTATTTAAGATATTTGCAAGCGCAGCATGATGGTGCACGCCTGTAATCTCAGCACTCTGGGAAGCTATGGCAGGAGGATCACAAGTTTAAGCCCAGCCTGGACAATGCGGCAACTCACTGACACTCCTCACAATTAAAATAAATAAATAAATAAAGAAAGAAAGAAAGAAAGAAAGAAAGAAAGAAAGAAAGAAAGAAAGCAAGCAAGCTAAAGATGTAGCTTAGTGTGCAAGTCCTGGGTTCAATCTCTTGTACCACTCACACACACACACACACACACACACACACACATATGCACGATGCTTGCATCATGCACTGCTCTTTGTAAATCAAAGAACTTATCTGAACTGCCCTATGGTTGGTTACTTAGGTAGTCTCCAATATGCTATAGCTTTTTGGAGCCTATGTCCTTATCTAAAAAATGTTAATAACTATCTCTGCCTTATCTCACATGTTTGAGGCTGAGAACACACATGATCACATGGACCACCACAAAATGCTGTACATGCTAGCTACTGGACCTTTTACTCAGGAAACTGTATCTGTGACTTAAAATGACCCTGATCCATGTGTCTCGCCGACCTACTTACCGGATGTTGTTATGATTGGCCTTAGGCAATTTCTCACAAGCATTCCAGAGAGCCTGAAGCCTCTTGTCTTGCTCCTGGATACTGGGAAATTGATAGAAAAAGCCATGGGAGGGCATGAATCAGTGAAATCTCATTGCCTTTTACATTAACTAGCCAGTTATCTTCATACTGAATGGTAAGGAGCCAACCCACTGTGACTGACCACATTAGCAAGCTATTATTATTAAAAATGTTTGGGTACCATATTTCCCTGTCTATGCTCTTTTTCTGTCCTATTCTGTGCTGTTTTAACACAAGTTCCTCCGTGCACATCACATATCTCAGGTGAATGTGCCAGGCTAGCACGTGAGGTAGGAGGGCAGAGGCCAGAGACACAGCCTGGAGTGCAGGACTATGGGGTTAACAGGATACAGAAAGCAAGTCAGGGAGTTAACTCTACCTGCTCAGTGTGAGGACCTGTGGTCCACCTCAATGGACACTACTCCCTGCATATGAAGTTCTTCCACGTCTGGCAGATAACAGATGCTGAATAAATAATCTTTGAATAAGTAAGTTATACAGACATAAAGAAATGTGACCTTTGAAGATATAACTCAGAGAATAGGTAATTTCAACTATTTGAAAGATTTTTCACTGAACAAAGTGATTTACTGTAACAGCTTTTTTACTTATAAAGCCTATTATGTATAAGGGTTTCTTATAAGACCATTTAGGTTTTTCCTTCTCCCTCTCTCTCTCTCTATAATTATTTATCTTTTTTAAAATTAAGTTTATTGGTACATTTTAGGTGTACAGTACAGTTACATTCATCATTGGGATCTTGTACCTTTACATGACTTATCTTGGTTCTTATTTTTCCCCCATTTCCAGCCCTCCCTTCACCCCCTCCACCCCCTTCCCTGTTTACAAAGATTTTGTTTCCATGTTTTCCCTCTTCTCATATTTTTTCTTGTCCCTTTTTACCTTTCCCCTACCCCTCTCACTTCCTCTATTCTTTTAGACCTTTTCTTCCAATTACACAATATCAATTAAACCTTTTCATCCTTATTTACACTTTTAGTTTTTCACACCAGAGAAACTATTCCATATTTGTACATGTATGTCTTATTAATTTCACTTAAGAATATGGCCTCAATGTGCATCCGCTGAGCTATAAATATCTCTAGTTTCTCATTCTTTATGGCTGAGTAGTACTCCATTTTATATTAAAAAAAAATCTTCTTTATCCAGTCTCCAGTTGATGGGCAACTGAGCTGGTTCCAAGTTTTAGCTATTACAAACTGTGCCACTATAAACATGGCATATATCACTGTGGCATGATTCTTTTGGGAAGATACCCAGCAGAGGAATAGCTGGGTCAAATGGGTCTTCTAGTTGTTTGAGGTACCTCCACACTGATTTCCATAGTGGTTGTACCAGTCTGCCCTCCCACCAACAATGAAAAAGGGTTCCTTGCTCCCCACAACCCTGCCAGTATTTGTTATTGGTTGATTTCTTGATAGCAGCCATTCCTTCTAGGGTGAGGTGTAATCTCAATGTTGTTTTCATCTGCATATTTTCTGCTTTTACTTCTTTCTTTGAGAAATGTCTGTTCATTTCAAATGGCCATTCTTGAACTGGGTCTTATATTTGAGGGGTCTGATTTTTTTTTTTTGAGTTCTTTATATATTCTAGATAGTAGACCTTTGCGTGAGGAACAAGTGGTAAAAACTTTTCCTACATTGTAGTTTGTTTCTTAGCTCTGTGTGTGATTTTTCCTGCAGTGCAAAAGCTTTTTAAAAAGATGAGATCACAACTGTTGATTCTTTGTGCTAGTTTCCATGCTACTGAGGATTTGTTTATTGTCTTTCCCTATGCCAATATCTTCAAGAGTTCTACCTAACTTATCTTCCAGAAAGTTTAGTATTTCTGTTTTAATATTTAGGTCTTTAATCCACTTGGATTTTAGTTTAGTGCATGGTGAAAGATATGGGTCTAGTTTTAATCTCTGGCAAGTTGAAATCCAGTTTTTCCAACACCATTTATTAAAGAGGCTATCTTTCCTCCAGTGAGGATGGTTGGCTCCTTTGTCAAAGATGAGGTAGCTGAATACATCTGGAGTTGTTTCTGTATCTTCCAATCTATTCGGCTGATCCTCAGGTCTGTTTCTTTGCCAGTACCATGCTTTTTTTTTTTTTTTTTTAATCTCTGTGGCTTTGTAGTATAGTGTAGCAAGTCAGGGATTGTGATACCCCTGCCATGTCTCTGTTGCCTAGAATTGATTTTGCTATTCTAGGTCTCTTCTGGTTCCAAATGAATTTTTTGGATTATTTTCTCTAGTTCAGTGAAATATAGTGTTGGGATTTCAATCAGGATTGCACTGAATCTGTCTAGAAGTTTTGGTGGAAGCATGGCCATTTTCACTATGTTGGTTCTTCCTACCCAGGAACAAGGGATGTATTTCCATTTTCTTATATCCTCTCTGATCTCTTTTTTCAGAGTGTTGTAGTTCTCAATGTAGAGGACTTTTGCTTCTTTTGTCAGATTGATTCCTAGATATTTCATGTTTTGGGATGCTACTGTGAAAGGGACTATTTCCCTAACTTCACTTTCAGTGTGTCTGTTATTTATGTAAAAGAAGGCTACTGATTTTTGAGTGTTGACTTTGTATCCAGCTACTCTACTGAGTCTGTCAATGAAGCACAGAAGTCTGTTGGTAGAGTTTTTTGGCTCTTTTATGTAGAGTATCATATCATCAGCAAATAATGACAGTTTAACCTCTTCCTTTCCTATCTTTCTTGCTTTTATTTTTTCTCTTGTCTAATTGTGATTCCAAAACCAGGGCAAGTCCCAACCAAAAAAGAGAACTACAGGCCAATCGCCCTAATCAACATAGATGGAAAAATCCTCAATAAGATACTGGAAAACAGAATACAGAGGGTCATCAAGAAGATCATACACCCTGACCAAGTCAGATTTATAATATTTATTGTATGGGACAACATTTTTACCTAAATCTATATCAAGGCCTACATTATAGGAAAGCACCACACTCAAAGAACCTTTTTTCCTGAACAACAGAAAGATTAACACTAATACACACTAAGTCCTGTGGATGAGGCCCAGGGATGTGGCCTGGGCTGGGTATCCTGAGGTCGCTGTATCAATCCAGAACAAAGGGAGAAATATTCTTTCCTCTTGTTTCAACCTTGAGAAAGAGCCAGGCATTCTGCACATGGAACTTTAACTAGGAGACCAGGGTGGAAACCAAACATTCTGCTTAGAAATGAAAAGTAACAGACAGCATCTGTGGCTAAAGTGGGGCTGTGCAGGGAGACGAGACCCAGCTCCATCCTGATTGTGATCTTGTGCCAATTCTTCAGCCTCTATGAACCTCACTTTCTTCCTCTCTACAGTGGGGTTCCTAACAATACTTCCCTCATAGAGCTGGTTCGAGCAGTGCAAAGGAGAGTCTGTAAAAAATGACCAGCCTTTTGCTAGTTCATTAAAAGCTCATGAACAAAATTAAATGCTGGCATTTTCAGCAGATGTTGCTGTTACTGTTAATCATTTGTGTCATTTGCTGAGGCATCTTCATGAAACTCAGCCCCACTTTTCTTTCTGCTGCTCAACCTTTCTTAGTAGATGGTAGGCACAGTTAATGACAGCCCACTGCTTTGTACAGGCCTCAGGTCCTGGATCTCAGCAGACAAAACTAGACCAGACCAGATCAGGCCAGAATGGGCTCAGTTGTGGTGAGTATCAAAATTAAACTGAACTTAGCGAAGTCCAGTTTTTCAAAAGCAGGAGATTCACAGCAATCAGAACAGGCCAACTTCTCCTGAGATAGCATGACAAGGAAGTCCCTTCTGTTAGTCTTGGAGGAGTCACTTTGAAATGACCAGTTTACTCTTTGTTTCTGCTTCTTTAGCCTTTTCTTCCTATAAAACCAATCTCACCTGCTGTCTCAGTCACTTTCCTGGACACTGCAGACAAAATATCTGATACCCACAACTTAAAGGAGGGGAGGTCTATTTTGGTTCCTGGTTTTTAGATGAGTCAGTCTCCACTCGGCTGGCTCCAAGTAGAAAGTGCATGGTAGGAGGGTCTGGTGGAAGAAAGCTGTTCATGGTGTGGCAGCCAGGAAGCCAAGACTGAACGGAGGAGCCAAGGAGGAAGCTATGCCCTTCCAGCTCACACCCTCAGTGACTGGACTTTTTAAACCAGACCCCACTTTCTAACCACAACCCACTGATGAGTACAGCACCTCATAATCCAGCCACCGTCCAAATACTCAACCTCTGAACACGTGAGCCTTTTGGGGGACATTCTAGGGAACACCCATTCTATGGAAGGACCTGCTGTCCAATTCTAGAATCCAACAACGGATGAGATCTTTAAACTGAATTTATAGTTATTTTGTCTTTGACTAAGGGTAGATGGCACTCATCCTTTTATTTAATGAAAACCAAGAAAGGTGCACTAAGCTCCCCAGGGTGTGTAAGGCGCCATCCTAAGGGTTTGGAAGTATAAATCACCAGAGTAGCTTGTGGCTTAACCAGCTGCACAGACACAGCCTCACATCTCCATCATTTGTGTGATGCAGAGGAATAGAGAGGATGACACAAATCACGACTGCTTGCTGATTTTCACTGGGCTGTCAGCAAGGTCCTCTCTGGGGAGATGATATTTAAGGTGAGGTCCAAATCCTCAGGAGCTGAAAGGGCAGAAGTTTCAAGGAAGAATCATACCAGGGAAAAGACTCCAATGCTTCCTTACTGGGAAGGGTCTCCTAGACTTGGAGGTCCCCCCGCCCCCTCACTCTTTGCGTCTTGTGCAGTCACTGATCAGTTCCTCGGTGCTTCTGAGCTTCTAATCTGAATACATGAGCATGGAAACACTTGGTTATGTGGCCTGCGGAGATTTGTGCTTAGACTATCTTGTAGTGTCCAGCCAATCCCTAATTTAGCCTTTGCTTCGTCCTGACTCCTGGATGTCCCATCCATGGCAGACATGCCTGTGTCCACCCAGCTGAGTTTCCTATAGTACAACGTCTTGTGAAGGTGAGTGCTACCCTCTGGTGATACTCAGCTTCATCAAAGGGTCCTGGTTTATCCACAGAACCCAGACCAATTCAACCCAAATATCTGAAAAATGGCACCAGGCCTGCTGTTTTAAAAAGTTTTCCAGGGGACTCTAATGTACACAGAAGTTTGGGAACAACTGTTCTAGGTAAAATTATTTCCTTCATATGATGTGGCCTTAAAGGGCAGGTACCATCATCCCCAAGAGTCTTTGGCTTTAGATGTTCATCATCCAGTGGCACAAAAGAGTCCTTGTTTATCCTTGGTTCAAAGACACTGACTACTTTGAGTCATCTGGATCATTCTTGTTTCATAATGGAGACCCGCCTTTTCAAGTGAAGAAACCAGAGTGTCTTCAGGTTATGGCACACTGAGCTATCCTCCTCCTAACTTTATAGCATCAAATTTTATATATTGAGTTTAAAAAGGGGGCAGATTCCACCAAAGACTATGATTTCACTAGCCCATCAGTTTTTTCTAGAGAGGTATAAAGTGCTCTGGGTAAGCAAAAGACCCCTAGACCGCGGATCCTTGAATTCAAATTCTCATTCTCCCATGTATTAGCTAGGAAGTATCCTGCTACTACGTACCCTTTCTATACTGCAAAGTCTTTATCTGTAAAACGGGGGAATGCACAATCTGCTTCATATAGTTGTTGTGAAAATTAAGTTAAAGATGTATAATGAGCTTAGAGCAATGTCAAGTCGCTAATCAGCACTCAACAAATGGTACCAATTACTAATAACATCACGGAAATCATTCAATCATCACAATGAGACAAAAGAGTATGGCATATTCAGCCAGCCTTTAAAAAAACGCACTTTAAAAGGTGTTATATAATCTGATTGACATGGAGTTTCTCTGACTGTGCATTCAAGTTTGGCTTTGCTTGCCAGTTCTGAGTCTCTTTTAGACCCCAGTCCTTCAAGAAGTAGAAAGATCAATAGTACAAGTCCAAGATGATGGATATGCTACTTATCCTGATTTCATCATTTTACAATGTATACGTGTATTCAAATACCACATTGTACCCCATAAATTTACACAATCATGATGTAGCAATTAAAAACTTTAAAAGATTCATCAAAAATTGTTATCTGCGTCAGATACACTCTCCAGGGTTCTTTCTGAGAGGATAAGCTGGCTGTCCTTGATGACTAAGTTCCACGATTAGAGAGTTCTAGAAATTCTGTTCATGGCATCTTGCTGAAGTAGCTACTTGCTCCCGGCCTTCTCTCAGAAAAATCTCTCTCCTTCGTCTCTTCTGCCTGGGTGACCTTTGCCTTTGTCTGTACCACTGTGGTGCCAACTCTCCTGCCCCACTGTTGCCTATTTCCTCACTCTACGAATCTACCGACTTGTTAAACTAGATTACTCCAAATAATAGCATTTACTTAAAACAGTTCTTACCCATGGCCAAAGAGAACATGTAATACCTTCCTAATGCATGTAGAAGCTGAGGAAAGAAGCCCGGAATTGCAGGAGAAGACCACACTTCAGAGTGGCAGCACGTGACTGGGTGGTGGCTTTGCCTATAGCTTTGCCCCATTGTCTGCTCTCTTTATTCTCCATCACCCCAATTTACCACTATGGTCCTGGGCTTTGCTCCTGTCCCGTAGGCGCATCTTTAGGAGTGTGGGACAGTGTGTGCTGCCCACATGTTATGCTTTTATGCTATCAAGTAGCTGTTGCTAAAATATTCCTATTACAGTTGAGGGCAAAGAGCCCCACCCATTCTCTGCCCCACTCTTCTTCTTATCACTGCTGTCTCCTGAGTGAGCCTTTCCAGAACCATCTTCTATGTGTACAGAGGCATTCCTGAAATTCTAATATTTTGAGTATGTTAGGGATTTTTTTTTCTTTTTACAAATATAGAATATTGTGTGCATCCTTATCAATTTGCTTTATTTTACCCAACAATAAATCTCTGCATCTTTTCAAATTGGCTCAAATAGCTTTAACTTTTTTTTAACTGCTCCAGAGTATGTCACAAGGTGCATACATTATAGTTTCTTAAACCATTCCCTCTCCACTCACTTCATCCAATGGACCTCTAGTGCCTTCTAGACTTCTGCCATCCCAAATAATGCTGCAATCAACATCCTTGGGTATGTCTCTTTGGTAACACATAAAAGCCTTCCTTCATGATTGGCATCAAGAAATGGAGATGCTAGAATCCAGGTTATAATACTTCCATAATTTCAGTAAATACAGCCAGTCCTCTGCTTTGGTGGTTCCTCATCAGAGATAATCAAATCACCGCCAAAGGTAATGGACGGTGAACGATGCATGATGTTGATGGTTATACCTGTACTACACATGGACAGACTTTTTTTCTTGTCATCAATCCCTAAACAATACAGTCAAAGAACTATTTACATAACATTTAATTGTATTAGGCATTATAAGTAATGTAATATATATGAAAGGATGTGTATAGGTTGTTTGTAAATACTATACATTACACATACAGGACCTGAGCATCCAGTCATCCTGGAACCAGTGGTTCAGACACTGAGGGACAGCTGTCACTTCCCAGTAAGTGCTAACCCACAAGATAACCCAACACAAGGTACTCACTTGGAAGCCTGGATCCATTCATCATAGAGTTCAAAGGTCATAAGAGGTTCTGGCAGCTCTCGGAGGTAAGATTTCAAAGCTCCTGGGCATAAGTACAGCAGTGTCCATGAGGCATAGCACAAAAGATACAAGTTACACTAGCCTGCATCATCTACATGGGCTTCTCCAGAGATTTGCCCCCTAAGCAACATGACAAAATCCAAAAGTGGCTTCTCAGATCAGTGAGCTTGGGCTCTGGCAGTGGGACCTGGGTGAAAACTGCCTTGACCCCTCCTGCCCCCATTTCTCACAGGACCTCATCTTCCAGGGGCCAGAGCAACCAGGCACAATGCTGGGCCCTGTGTGGACACACTAGAGCATGTAGAAAAGCCACTGGCTCAGGTGTTGCTGACATGGAGCTACAGTTCGTTTGCTCACCCTTCCCCAGAATCCCTGCCGAGACCACCTCCTTGCCCAGAGGCCATGGGCACCCACCTGCAATGGCATGGGGATCAGCTGAGTATTCCTGCACATCCACCACACAGCAGTCCAGTGCAGCTTTCAGCTTCTTCAGCTTGGAAGCAGAGGGAGCTACACGGAAGAGGCCCTACCAAAAGGACAGATGGTCAGTGCATGGCCTGCAATCCAGTGATTCCACAGCGAACAGACAGGTGGAAGGTTTTCCAAAACCTCCAATGTGCATTTTACCCAACACCACATGTCAGTACTGTGACTTTGTGTCTCCTCCCTCTGACATAAGCAACTGGCAGCTTTCAGTGCCTAGTGACAGGGTAGCTCACTGTACTCGTGTGTTGTACTGGTGTATATTAGGCTTTTTGTTCTCTTACACTTGAGATAAACTTTGGAGAATAATTTGACTGAGACACGATCAGATGTTGAGGTCTAGCAAGATGGTTCAGAAAGGCCTATGGTGTGTGTGTGTGTGTGTGTGTGTGTGTGTGTGTACATATAAGCATATGCACGCAGGTGTGCACACACACTGAGAGGCTCCAGATAAAGAACCATATACAGTCTTTGAACCAAATAAAGTCTCTGTCCTCAGAGGAAGGGCAGACTGGGGCTGGTATATAAGGGAGTCTCCTTGTTCCACTCAGTGTTATTTTACTTATTATTTATTTTTTCCTCATTGAATTTATTGGTACGTTCTAGGTATACAGTACAGTTACACGTATCATTGGGATCTTGTACCTTTACATGACAGGTCTTGGTTCTCATTTTTTCCCCTTGTCCCTGCCCTCCCTTCACCCCCTCCTCCCCTCTCTTAGTGTTATTTTAGAACTGCTTCCACTTCATCCAAATGAGTCTCTGCACTTTGGATAGCAAAAGTAAGCTATGAACAGAAAGAGAAGAGGAGGACAGAGGTGTAAGAAAAAAAGACAAATGGAGGTCAGGGCTGGAAAGGAGCCTCCAAGTCCCTGGGAAGGGAGACAGGCAACCCTCTCAGTTTGTCCCTCCCTGTCAGCTCTGAGCATTGTGATGTAACCCAAGACTGAGAAAGGAGCTGGTGGACTACTCCCCTTGCTCCTCTAATCTTCTAGATCCATGGAGTCCTCAAGGTCCTTTAGAGGACAATGCTCCTGGTCTGGAATACTAAGTTTCTGACCTGCTACAATGGCTCACTTTTTCCTCAGAAGAGAGAGTTTCAGATAAACACGTGTCTAAAAGTTCTGTGGCTTATGTGTGAGGAGGTCTGTAAACATATGTGGACTAATGCATCTGCAAAGCTGCTACTACAGACAGAAAAGGAATGGTTTAGATCTTCAGAAAACTACATCACTGCCAAGCAAGAAGAGCCGAGTATGTGGCGATAGACAATGCCACAGGTAAGAGGCAGAGTTTCCAGATATTGTAGCCCCTACTTCCACTTTCCATAATTCTAATCACCCATGGCCAAATGCAGTCTGGAAATACCATGGAAAATTCTAGAAATACATAATTCATAAATTTTAAATAGCTTATTGTAATGCATTGCTACAACCATTCTATTAGATATTATTGTTACCTCATACTGTACTTAATTTATACATTAAAATTTATTGTAGGTGTATATGTATAGAAAAAAAACATAGTACATGTAAGGTTTGGTGCCATCCATGGTTTCAGGAATGCAGTGGGAGTCCTGGAACATATCCCCTGTGGTAAGGAGGGAAATACTATGTAAGCCTTTGGACTGTGATTGTGTAACTCAGAGAACACTGTTCCATTAAGAGAAAGACAGTTGAAACAGTGAGTCTAGTTTTCAGGGTATTAGAGGAAAACGTGCGTGGGAATGTTGAAGAATGACAGCAAACAAAGGAATGGAGCCCCCTCACTGAAGGAACCCTCACAGAGGCTGAGGTGAAGCTATAGGAGAGGATGATGGCACTACAGGGAGGCTTGGCCAGAGGGTGCGGCAGGGAGAGTGGGGCAGGGAGAGTGCGGCAGTGTCTAACAGAGCACGCTGCAGGCCCTGCGTTCTGGTCAGAAGGAATTAGAACCCCAGGCGGCCACTGCTTCAAAGACAGTGAAATTAGTAACATCAGGTACTGGTGTAGAAAGGAGGTAGGGACCGGGGTATCAGATCTGACAACCTGGGCTCCCTGGGACAGCAGTTTTAGCTCCACGTTGGGGACAGAAGCGACACCACAGGAGTAAGATCGCTAAATAAGTGGCATCAAAGATGAACAAGCAACAAATCTTGAGAGTTATTTTAAGAAAACCAGGCAGCAAAAAAAAAACAATGAACTTAGAAAGGAACCTAAGGTTGCCAATGAGCTGAAAGAACATTTTTTTTCTAGGTGCAGTAAACCTGAACATATTTGTTACCAAAAGAAAAGAACTAATGAAAAGATGGAAAAAGGAAAATGGGAAGGAGATAGAGAGGAAGGGAGGGAAAGAAAGAGGCAGAAAGGGAAAGAGAGAAATCAGAAGGAAAGATAGGGATGGCAAGAGACCATTCCACAAGAACTTCAACTACTGACTGACTAGACATTAATGTCGCTAATAAATTATTATAAAAATGCTATAATATTCTAGTATTTGAACACTGTAATACTATTGTAGCTACATTTTAAAATATCTTTCTTTCAGAGATACCAGATGTGACTGAAAGATGTGATGCATGTTTACATTTTTTATACGTGTACTACCGTAAGAGACACGCTGCCGTTAGTCATCCTCATGACACCCCTCCCATCCCTCCTGCCGCTCTCTGAAGCACTTCTGGACGTTCTTCCTTTCATCTTTAGTTGCAGCATCATGGGTCCCTTCATGTCCTGAATTGGTGCAAAATGTTCCCCTTTCACGGTCATTTTGACTTTAAGGAAGCACCGGAAGTTATGCAGTACCAGATCTCAGAATAACACAGAGGAAGACACACCGTAAGGTTTTCAGAAGCCTTCCTTTCCTCTGAACGGCACTTAGCAGCAGTATTCACTAGGTTTTTGATCATACCTTGTAAAGACACTCACCAAGGAAGGCTTCCGGAACTGCTTCAGAAAGTAGCAAGAGCCATGGGGTAAGTGTGTTTGAAGTGAGGGGGAGCATTGTGAGGGGATTAATGGTAATGTCTCTTTTATGGTATTAAATTTTTTAAAATAGTTTAAACATTCACCATATATGTTGATCATACCACATACGTTCTAAAACATTTTAAATGATAGAATGTCTGAAAGTACTTTAAAATATCCAAGACAGGGATTAGGGGCAGAAATGGAAAAAGAGATAAAATAAGATTGACCAAGACCTAGATAGGAGGCTCATTATTTTTAAATATGTAAGTTTTTCCATAATTAAAAAATAAGTGATGGGGAATAAAAAGTTCAGCTCACCCCCTCGATGAAAGTGTTTTTTGGATTATAGAGTACCTAGATAGGAGGCTCATTATTTTTAAATATGTAAGTTTTTCCATAATTAAAAAATAAGTGATGGGGAATAAAAAGTTCAGCTCACCCCCTCGATGAAAGTGTTTTTTGTAGATTATAGAGACTTTATTTTTTTAATTATAACAAATGCAAAAATGGTTGACACATAAAATATGGTAAAAACAAAAGAAAATAACAACAACAACAAAACCCCAAACCCAGTTTTTTTCCCCATTCCTTTTTGAATATTCAGCATCTTGAACGGGTCTAACATATAGGAAGCAACCCATACAGGTTTGAAGGTCTATTGACTTTCTTCTCTTCCACAGCCCTTAGTATGCTCCATCTGAACTAATATGTAGAGATTATAGCCTGTTTTGGATTAATCAGGCTTACTGGATAGATGCTACACTCATTTCTCCCTGTAAGTTTTATAAACCCCACATCTCATTCTTTTTTTTTTGGTAGTGGGGATTGAACTCAAGACCTTGCACTTGTGAGGCAGGTGCGGTGCTCCTGAGCTACATCCCCAGCCCCCATATCTCATTCTTATACTTGGCTCAGAAATAAATGCATGACATGCTCTAAATAAGTAAAGACTGGATGATCAGGTCAAAGGAAGATGGAGTAACGATGTTAAAATAGCCCATGGAAGAAACTAAAGATGGATTTATCTCCCAGGAAATGATTTAAACAAAACAAAACAAAAAAACAAACAACAAAAAACAAAAAAAACCTACCATCAATTTCTCATAGAATTTTGTTTTAACTCGGGGCTCTTGCAAAGCACTTCCTAATATCTTTATTAATCAGACTTTCCGGATCTCTATTAAAGAGTTGTGATCCAAAAGGTTGAGAGCTCTATTTTGAAAATCAGAAAACTTACTAAACAAAAGGGAGAAGAAGAGGAGAAAGGTGAAGTGAGGGAGGAGGTGAAGATTATTAGATTATTAGGAATTTGGAATAGTAGTAGTAGAAGCAATAGTACTTAGTGGTAATGGCAATAGCAGCAGATTGCCAAAATCATCAAATCATATTAAATATGAAGAAACAACGGCTAGAATATGGCCGTATAATTCTCATGTCTGGCCGCTATCAGTCTCCCACAATCCTCCACTCTCCCTGTAAAAGTGAAGGTTCATGGGAGAAAGCAGTTCGTGTCTGCAAAAGAGGGTCCATATCCTACATGCCTACATGTTTGGATTTGAGGGAGCTGGAGTGGGGATGACACAAGACTGAAAGCCTCACGGGCTCTGCCTCTGGGAGGAGACCCTCTGGGGCTGTTTGGCCGGCTCCATCCTACCTCCTCCTGCATCCCACATTCCAGCAGCATTGTCACACATGCCTCGATGGGGAAGGCGATCTCCCGGCCACTGATGGTGAGGTGCTCCTCTAGGGGCTTCCCGAAGGAAGGCTTCTCCACCCAGGCTTCTGAGAGGGAGGAGCAAGAGAGGGGTCAGTCTGAGACTTGGAAGGCCACTCACGTTGAAATCTTTCCTTCTTCCTGTTGTCCAGACTCTCCTGAGGCTACCAAAGAAATAATAAATCTTCATTCTTGTGGTTTTAGGGATGATGGACAGGAAAGCAGAGGTGGATGGGTGGCCAGCTACATCCAGCAAGATGGAGTCAAAGTGACCCACACTGATTCATCCCTACAGAGATAGTGTGTAAGCACAGATACTCTTGGCTTCACTGTAATGAATCAACAGCAGCTTGTGAAGTTCTGGTCACCCCATCTAACATGACCTTCAAGAGAGGGGTGGCAGGGTGAACAAACACAGGGAGTCAGTCTCATCTGGAGGGCAAGCAGCTCCGCAGCCCCCACCCCCACCCCTAAAGCATGCGCTTACCTTGTTGTGCTTTTATTTGAGGCAACACAGCCTGTAGCAGTGTCAGTGATTTCCTGTGGTATTCAGCTTGCACTTCTATTAGCTGAGAAAACACAAGGGCCAGCATTACCCTTTGCAGGGACAAGAACACAGGCTTCTGTGGTATGAAAGGGCTTGCTGACGGGGAAGGAGCTGGAGCCCCTCCCTGCCCCTTCCTCCAGTCTACCTACAGCGATGGGCACGCTTTATCCTGTGTCATAGAGGAGTCGCTGCATGCAAAGTTGTGTAGCAGGACAACCGTGAAGGCTCAGGGGAGCTTCCCCAGAGCTGGGACCTGACTTAGGGAACTTCCTTTAGTCACCTGCCACAACATCTGGTACTCCTTTCTCAAAGCAAAAGGCAGCAGAGAGGTACAAAAATAGACAGATACAAATAGAAAAGAATTTAGAAATCCAAAACATTTATACATGTATTTGCCTATAAGATGTACAGGTTAAATTCACCTATATACATCAAATTAGTTTTAATATAGAATAGACCAAAAGACACAGGACTCAAGCCACTATTCTCTTCAAGTATGCTGGGAGGTAAAATTGTTGTGGCTGTGGGAATGGGGTCCAGAGAACAAGTTCCTTCCAGGTGGCCTATGTCAGCGTCTCTTTACTTAAAATACAGCTGTGATGTTGACAAGGGCCGCTGAAAACCCATGAGCAGCAGTCACTTCGTGCACTTTCCGAATCTCCCTCTCCCGTCCTCAAACTGGGCATGTTATTAGAGGGGAGGGGAAAGAAGCACTCTGTGCGAACTGTTATCAGGGAGGGAAAAGTCCAGTGACAGCAAAGAAAAATAACACAGCATTTTAAAAAGTAACCAGAATACTGACATAAATGGTATGTGAAAGACAGGTAGGCAGTCTAATAAAGCGTGCAATAAAGTCTTCAAAAAAGCTTAAAATAAATTTTCGAAGTTGGAAGTAACATGTATCTCCTTTTTTGCAGGGTAGGACACAACTGAACCTCTGGACCATGACTGACAATTCAGGAGAATTGCTAATAACCCAGTCATTCTGTCATGTTCCACAAGGCATTTTAAACTTGCCAAAATTTTTCCTTCGTTCCTCTTTACTCTCCCCTGCCTTGTCATTCCATCTCTTTCTTGATCATTTTTTCAAAGGCTTTTAGATATTTTAGTGTTTTATTCTCAACTTCAAAAGCAGGTACGCATGTTTACTTTTTGTTATTTCTCTATCAATGCTTTTTTTTATTGCCTTGAATTTATGTAGTAAACAGCTATCCTCCTAATTATCAGAGCTAGATTATTTAAGTCTTCATGACTCAGATTCTGTTTCTTCCTGTTTCTCAACTCTTTAATTCTACATTCACTGACAAGAGGCAGGCAAACAGACCACAGTACTCATAGTTTACCTACTTGCTACTGTCTGGCACAAATCTACATTAAAAACAATAGAGGTGAAGTAGTTAGCATCCTAATTTCCTCAGGTCCTTACTCTTATACACCAGTTTCTCAATATTGGTCCTACTGACATTCTGAATTTTTTTTTTTTTTTTTTGTACCAGGGATTGAACTCAGGTCCTTGTGCTTGTGAGGAAGGCGACAGAACCACTGAGTTAAATCCCCGGCCCTGGTCCTACTGACATTTTGAGCCAGATAATTCTTGGTTGTTGGAAGCTGCCCTGGACATTCCAAGGGGCTTCACAGCAAGCCTGGTCTCTATCTACTAGATACTGTGCCACCTTTCTCCTCAGCTATGACAACCAAAATGTCTCCACATACCGCCACACGTACACCAAGAAAGCAAGCAAAACTTCTCTTAGTTAAGAATCACTGCCATAGACAACTGAGAGGTAATGATTTTCGAGGATGAGGTTGGGTCTTATTGTCAGATTTTAAAAAGAAATTTGGACAAGTAGTAGTAGAAGGCAGAATGATTCAGCAGCAGAAAAGTCAAATTCCTCCCTTATCTGTAAACAACCAAGAGTTCCATGCCCACATTCTCTTTCTGTTTGCACTGCGATTTTGGCCAGGAGACTTTTTGCAATCTCACCTTTCTGGACCCTTACCGTTTGAAAGTAGTTTGCATAGTCGATTTCTTTGGCCACAAAATTGTACATGTCAGCGGAGAGCTGGTCCTGTGCAAGAGGAATATACAACCATGGTAAAACATAAATAATCCGATGGTTAATACCTGAGTCTAGACATCACAGAAGGGCATTTAAACACTGTTTCATCTCATTTTAATAAGTTTTCCTACTGGAGACTTGATGCTTTCCAACCATGGCACTAGAGAATGAGTGATTTGAAAGGTATACCTATGCCAGTGGCTACTCCAAGGCTTTTAACACCCGGGCCACATCGACAGTTAAAGTCAAAGCTGCTGTCAGGAAGCAATGTGCAAATTACTTCCATTTAGCTCTGCAGCTACCACCATTCTGATGCAAGCACCCAGTACAGGCTGTGCTGCATAGCTCCCTTCACTCCACCATTTCTTCTCTCTGGCCATTCTATAATCCTGCTCTCCTTCATTCTCAGTACCAGTCATCATCAGCATGTAGGGAAGAGATGAAATGCAGCAATTTGGAGAAAGCTCGGATGAGACAGGTGCCCAGGGAAAGGACTGCTGACTCACGACTACTCAGACACTGGACTCACCCCACATTGGACACAAGCCAAGTGCCATCAACACTTCTTCACCAGTCAGCTTTTCTCAGGCTTGAGGGACCTTATGCTACACTGGAAACTGGAATGTTTTATCCTCCAAAGAGAATATTTTCCCCCCAGAGACGTATTCACAGCATCACACTGTAAGTGAAGATTTGGAGCAAGATGTAGGCTCTGTCGGTAACTATAATTAAGCATGTCACTTCTCTGAAATTATGTATGCAAATCATAGGACCCCTAGGGTCCTTGGAGAAGGCATGCAGTCGAGAAAAGCCCATGTGTACAGGCTGAGGCAATCCTGAGAGCAGCATGGGAGAGCTGACCAGGATACAGAGTAAAGAGGAGCTTCAGGAAGAGCCTGCTTCACGAAAGCTCAAGCCATCTGCACCACCCTGGCAGTCCTCAGCCTCTTCCAGGAAGTTGATTCTCAGTGTGAACACTGGATGTGCAGAAGAAATTGTTTCTTTTCCAAGATCTGTGACAAGCAAGGGATGGCTGAGAACATCATTCAAGGTTCTTATATACAAGGCAACAGAGCCAAGTCAGAGATAAAGGAGAAAATCTATTCTCCAAGGGACTTAAAGCACAGATGAGGTGACACTATGCTTAGTCCAGGTGCAGAAAACAAAGACAGAGGAAAATAAATTAACATTCACTGAGACCTGATTAGGTGCCCAACATGATGTTACACAGAAGTCTCAACTAAACCTCTATGGAGAAGTGTATGTCTAGGTTTGGATCAGCTGGTGACAAGAGTTCAAGGATCTTTGTGTTGACCACTGCCTCAAAATATTCATAATAGAAGGGGCTTAAACTGTTAAGTGAACAGATAAGGAAACTAGGGGTCAGATCTGGCAAATCTCCCAGAGAATAAAATAAGCTTGAGGCCACTGGAGGACCCCTTAAATGAATGTCTCTGAAGGCTGCCAATCCTCTCAAAGGTTTGAGAGAAAGGGTCTTGTCTGGATGCACCTTGTGTTTCATCCTGCTGCAGCCCTTTTCAGGAGGCATCCATCAGCAGCTGCCAGCTGTGAGATATTTCAGGACAGAAAAAAAAAAAAAAAGAGCTGAGAGATAAAAATGGCTTGCCCAACAGAGGAAAGGAAGGGAGCCCCTGAAGGACTAAATGCTGCATCAAATCTACCACAGCATCTCAACACTGGATCATCTCAGGCAGATGACCTTGAAAAACACAGTGTCCACCCGCAGGAAGATGAAAGGATTGCACAGGTCTGAATAGATTACTGTGTTATTAAACTCAATAGTATAATTCCAAACAAGCCATACTGCAAGAAAGAAATTAAAGTGGAAACTATAAGTCAAATTTCCATTTATCTAAATCATTTGAATTTTTTCTTTTGAAGTGTGGAAAAGACTCATCTAGTCAATAACCATGACACTGTGATATATCTTTTAAAAATCATGTTTTCTGATTCTGTAACAAATCTACACTCAGACAAACATAAAATAACCAAATGCACTAGTCATGTCACCAGGCAGAGATTAGCACTATGGCATGGAGCCAGGTGCACTCGGGTATTTGTTTTATTCAGTCCAATGATTGCATGGTTTACAAAAATGAAACCAGACTGCTCTGTAGGTTAACTACTCCCTGATAAACACATTTAATCATATGGATGAACTTTGTGTTTCTACTGTTGGATATCGTGTTTCTATTTTTTCACTATTATAATGATACCTGAATAAATACATTTACACATTTGGCACCCATCCCTTGATTATTCCCCTATGATAAGTTCCACGGTTAAAGTTAATTCTGATTATATAATATTTATAGTTAATAAAAATTTTAAAACCATAATAATGATTGGGACATCAGAGCTTTTGAAATATACTACCAAACAGCAATCAGAAATATCACCATTTATACTATGAAGAATAATTTACAAATGTTTTGCTTGTTTTCCAGAGTAAGACTTTTATTCTGCTTAACCACTAAATAAATCAAAATTAAAATGATTTTAATTTCTATCTTTATGAGGGGTTACCTTTCTTCTAGACTTGTTATCTTTGTCAACTTCATTTATTACCTATTGTCAATTTCTTGTCAAGGCAGCATTTTTACCTTTCTTCTAGACTTGTTATCTTTGTCAACTTCATTTATTACCTATTGTCAATTTCTTGTCAATAGGCAGCATTTTTTCATTCCTAAGAGGCCTCATCTTCTTACAAATAAGATTTGTAAGAATTCTTTCAATTGAAGAGACAGTTGGTTTCATTACATATACAAATATTTCCTCCCAATTTCCCTTCTGCCTCTGGAGTATTATTACCACATTAGGGGAGATGTGCCTTTTTATCTTGTATGCTACCTATTAAAACTTTTTCCTTTATGATTTCCTCCTTTGGCAATATAAATTCTCAACCAGCACTATATGCATATAAATGTGCAATAAACAATATAACTTTTAAATATTTAATGAATTTGGAACTCATTTTGGTATTTATCTCAGGAAGATTTTTTTTTTCAAGAGTTAAATGAATGCCCCAGAATTGTTCATGAATAGAACAGACTGTACCAATGGATTGGAAATGTCATATTTACCAGAAAAAATTTCTTATATACTTAGGCTTTCTTTAGGCTGGAATACCTTCCCCCTCCCCGCTAAATGGTCTATATTTTTGAAACAGTACCTAAATTTTAATTATGTGGCCCTGTGTTATACTTTAAGAGATAGTGATTCAATGCTCCTAGAATCCTCCCACATTTAACTTTAGGAACCTTTTATCACTCTTTGAAAAAATTTACTATAATTATAGCTAGTTACCACAATACCAAATCAGTTAATCAAATTAATTTCAGATAATTCGTGTTTATAATAATGATTTTTTGCCATCGAGAAACATTTCTCAAAATTATACAATCTTTTTCGTTGTTTTTCTTCAGCAAGAGTTTAAATAAAATACCTTAAACTTCATGACTTTATACTAACAACCAAAAAACAAAGGAAAACACTCCCTCCCCAATGAATAAGCAAACAACAATAAAAACAAGCAAAAATCAAAACACAAGTCCCACACATATCAAAGAGGTTGATTAACCCTGATCAAGAACAAGAACCAGCCAGGAATGGTGGTGCATATTTATACTCCCAGCACTCTGGGAGGCTGAAGCTGAAGAATCAAAAGTTCAAGCCCAGACTGGGCAGTTTAGCAATCTGGTGAGACTGTGTCTAAAAATGAAGAGAGGAATAGGAATAGGAATGTAGCTCACTGTGAATGCCCTGGCCCCAGTATGTGTGTGTGTGTCCCCATGGGGTAGGGGAGAACTAGAGCCCAATATGACAGGAATGCTAGAATTATTCAGATTAAGAAATGAAATATTACAAGGGGAAAAAATGAGAATCAAGACCTGTCATGTAAAGGTACAAGATCCCAATAATGAATGAAACTGTACTGTATACCTAAAATGTACCAATAAACTCAATGAAAAAAAAGTATTGAAACATTAAAAGATCCTACAGTATACTACAGGCTTTAAGCAGATAATAAAAAAGAAAATAGACAACATAAGAGAAAGGATGGATAACAGAAGAAGAGATGGAAATGCTAAGAAAGTATCAAACACATGCTAGAGATGAAAACCAGCAGATCAGAAATAAAGAATGCCACTGATAAGCTCATTAACAGACTGGAGTCAGCTGAGCAAAGAACCTCTGGATTTATGGTCGTGACAACAGAAATGTTCAAAGCTGAAAATCAAAGTCAAAAAAGACTGGGAAAAAGGAACAGAATAACCAAGAATTCTGGAACCACCATGTAATATAAGCATAATAAAAATACAGGTTAAGGGCCGGGGGTTTAGCTCTGTGTTTCTGCCACCTGCCTCACAAGGACCCGAGTTCGATTCCCCAGTGCCAAATATATATATATATATATATATATATATGTAGGTTGAAAATCTCGAATCTGAAAATTCAAACCCTGAAATTCTCTAAAATCTGCAACTCTTCTGCATGCTTACATGTTATCCTAAGGAGAAAATTCCACACCTAATCTCAAGTGATTGGTCACAGTCAAGACCCAGGTACTGTAAAAATACTGTATTAAGGGACCTTCAGATTATTTGTATATGGCATATGTGAAATGTAAATCAATTTTGTGTTTAGACTTGGGTCCTGGCCTCAATATATCTCATTATGTACATGGCAAAAATTTTTAAATCCAATATTTAAAACATGCTGAGTCTCAAGCATTTGGGTAGGTGACACTCAACCTATAAGAGCAGAAAAATAGAGAAAAGGAATAGAAGCAATATTTGAAGCAACAATAACTGAGATTTTTCCAGAATAATCAGACACCATGCACAGATCCAGGAAACTCAGAAAATATCAAGCAGGATAAATATCCAAAAAATTATACATAAACATATCATGCTCCAGCTTCAGAAAATCAAAGGTACACAAAAAAAAATCTCAAAAAAAAAAAAAAGCCTAAGAGAAAAAACACC